GGGGGGGGGGGGGGATGGTTTTGCAATGGATTTCGTGATTGGCTCCAGCAGCTGGACTGAGCTGCCTCAATAATAGATATTTGGGAGGGCCCCGGAACGTAAGAAACGCCATGCCAGATCAGCCCAAAGGTCCATCTAGTCCAGTACTCCATACACACAGTAGCAAACCAGCTGCCCACAGGATTTCTAAAGGACCCACAAGAACAGGACCTGCTTGAGAGGGGCTCTCTCTCTGAGGAAGAGTACCTGCAACTTAGGTTAACACAGACCTGCCACCTACCTGAGCAAGGGGGGGAGCAGCTGCACCTGGCGACCTTCCTCCTCTGTAGGCACATGACTCCTGTGGCATGAGGAACTAATCAGAAGCAAGGGCCAGTGCACTGTAGGGGCTGCAGTGCTGAGCTGGGACTCTGCCACAAGCTCCCTGGGTGCTCGGGCAGTCCTTGGCTGGCCCCAGCCATGGTGTCAGAGCCCACCTCTTTCAGGCCTTGGCTGTTCAGCATGGACTGGGCTGCTGGGGGAAGGCCACACTGGCAAGGATGCCTCCCCAGCCATTCATGAGTCTTTTTGTTCTTTGCATCCCATGTGAGGAAGAGCATTGCACTGAAGGCTGCAATAAATAGCTCTGGCAGTGCGGGGGCTTTTGAGAGCCTTGAAGCAGGCCAGGTATAGGCAACCTGTGGGACACAACATATGGAAGCCCAAACCCCCATAATTCTCAGCATGCCTACGCTGGCTATGGCCAAACAAGTGTAGGGCCCACAGTTCCAGGTGGCTCAGGACTGGAAAGATGCCAGATTCCCCTTTTGCCCCACCTACCAGAACTCCTGCACTATGAGGATCTTGACACTTTTCTGAAAGGGTATCATGAGCAGTTTCATGCTTTGCACACAGAGGTGACATTCAGTGCCCTCCTTACATGGGGTTCTTTACAGCAAGGTACCAAGAACCACACTTACCTGGAGTCTCCATCAGGGTCTTCCACACTGTCCCCAATACTGTTCACAGCATACCTGCTCCTTGGTTTCCCTGGTGGGAGTAGGGAAAGGAAAACTTTCAGGAATGCTGAACAGGTTTTGGGATTTGCCTGTTTTCCTGTCCCTGTTCCTGATTTCCCCTCAAAGAACTAATGCCAGGCCGGAAATGGAGCAGTTTTTCTCTAGTTCTCCAGAGGGCATGACCAGAACCAAAGAATGGAAATTGCAGGGAAGTAGATGTTGGGAAGTAGCACAGAGACATCCTATTAGTGCGAGCTGTTTGGCGTTGGAACATACTATCCTGGGAGGTGGTGGGCTCTCCCTCGCTGATGATATTTGACCAGAGGTGGAAAGACCCTGCCAAAGATATTACAGCTCAGGGGTAAGTAGCCTTTGGGGGCCTCTGGACCTTTCTTTGAATCCACAGTTTTAGTATCAACATAATTTTTTTTCCACAAAAGGCAAACTATTTTTCCCCTTTTGCAGTTCCAACAGCCAAGTTTTCCCCCTACTTCTTTTCTCACCTGCACTCTGCATCACCTCCCAGAGGTGTGTGTGCTCGTTTGCTTTCTGGGCATCGGGGCAACCATCCGTGCATTCACAAGTATAATGACCACCCTTCTCCTTGCAGTAAGCACACTAAAGACCACACTTGTTTTTTCTTGGGATCCCTCCCTTCCACAAGCAAACCCCACCCATTCAGACATGCAAGCACACCGTTCTCCTCACCACCTCTATATGCTATGAGTTGGCTCCCCCAGCTGCACAAGCTTCTTAGCTTCTCTGATCCTGCTCTCAGCTTTGGGCAGAAATTAAAGGTTTGACGGTCACCCCTTTCTCTTTCTTGATGGAGGAGTACATGGCAGAGGAAAGCATCATCCTGCAGGCACCCTCATTTCCTGAGAAACTCTTGAGTCCCACTTGTGGGCAAGAGGCCTGTATTTTGCTTTGAAACTATCTTAGCTTCTGGTAAGAATTTGTTACATTTTTAAAAGGGGGCTGTAATGGAGGGCACCAGATCGCTGACACCTGGCTGCCTGCCTCTCCTGCAGCTGCTTTGCACAGCCTGCAGTGAGCAAAGGGTTACACTTGATCTCCTTCCAAACATATTATTTCATAGCAAACCTCATAGTCCATTAAGATTGCATTATTTACTGCAGCCTCACTGCTCAAATCGGAAAGAAAAAAAGATCAAGGTGGATTTTTAGTGGATGCCCCTCAGTTATAGAACTACCTTTCCACAACTCTCAGATCTTTCTTTTGCTGCCCATCAGGCTCCTTGATGCACCAAATCCGTTTTTAAAACGGGGAGTCTGGCATGCCAAATGACGCATCCTTGCGGTGTCCAAGAAGGCCTGTGGACCCCCATGGCTGGCGGCTGCAGTGCAGCTTCTCCGGGAAGCGTGTCCAGCCATGCAGAAAAGAGATGAGAGCGAGCCGGGTGCGGCAATGAGCACGTTGCTGGGCTAGCGGGGCCACGCTCCTTAACTGGCTTGTGGGCTTCTACTGTGTGTTTATTCTCCGGGGCTTCGGCAGCTTTTGCGTGGAAATGCCAAACGTGTCCCGGAAGAGCGGGCGGGAAGGCCGCGGGAGGCTCCCCCGCCAGAAGCAGTCGGCGCAAGCGGTCCCCGAAGCGGTTCGGTCCTCCGAGGAGGAACGCGCCGCCCACGCGGGTCATGGGACGCAGGCGCGAGCCGCGCAAGCGCCAGGCGGCCTCCCGCGGCCCTTCGGCCGGGGCGCGACAGGTAGAGGCCCCAGCGGCCCGGCCCGGCCCGGCCGCGTCCGCAGGCACGACCCCGCCGCGCGCACGGAGAGGCCTACGGCCGGAGCAGCTCGCGGTCGCCATGGCAACCTCCCGCGAAGCCCTTCCGGGGCGGGGCCGGGCCTGGCCGGAGACGCTCCCTCCGCTCCGCGCGCTGTCCCCTCACCGGTTTGGGCGGCCGGGTTGCCGGGCCCCCCGCGCTGGAACGGGAAGCGGAAGAGCAGCTTGTTGCCGCGGCTGCCGGAGCTCACCAGGATGACGCTAATGGGACTCGAGCTCGCCTCCATCTCGCTCAAGGGCCGCGCCACCATCGAGCCGGCGCCTAGAGGGGCGAGCTGCGCATGCGCACGGCTGCCTGGCGTAACGGGGCCGGGACCGCGCAAGCTCAGTTGGCCGAGGCTGCCCGGCTAGCCCGGCGGTCGGCGTCCGCGGGAGGAGTGAGGAGCACGCTCTCAACGGGCATTCTGGGCCTGGTGACCAGCAGAGACCCCCGCGACGCTCTGGACACGGTCGCGGTGGCCCACTCGGCCTTTCTCCCCCAAGCCCGGAGTCCCAGAGAGCTGGGGGAGCTGCAGTGTGAGGCTTCAGGGCAGCGGGGGCCTTTGCGGTCTGCGCCCAGCGCCATGCAGATTGCCCCTGTGGAGGACTGGAAGGGTGGGCAACTTGTTCTTGGGCTGCAACTCACCTCTGGCTGTGCTACTTGGTGCTGAGGGCAGTTGCAGCCCAACAAAGACCCCAACCCTAATCACTAAGCGGTTTGATTCTCTTCCTTGAGGCTTAGATCAATACAATTGTTTCCTCTTCCACTACAGGGGTTGCATTAGCATTCTACAGTTAGGTATTATGTGGTACGCTCGCCAGCTACTACATTCTGAAAAGTCAGTATGCTTGTTTTGTATACACTTGAGCAGTATGTGGGATTGTTGCGGAATGCACTTCATGGTTCTCAACCAAGATGTTTGGGATGTGGGTATCTATATGCCAGCTGGCAATTCATTTCAGACACCAGAAAAGCATCTGCCAAAATGAATTTCAGCCTAACTATGGATTGTGCTTTTGACTGGAACGACTAACATGTCTGCTACTTAGGAATGTGATCATGTTGCACTCTTGCGGGCTGCATTTTGGCTCCCCAGACCAGGGGTGGGGGTCACCTTCTGTCTATCTTAGCTAGCACAGGCATGAGCCCCCTGTCAGCTGCTATCTCTGAGCCCCCCATTTATTTTTGCTCCCCACATGTGACCTCAGTGGCCCCTTAGAGGGTAGAATTGGTCAGCCAAGTGTGGGAACTTCTGCTTGGGGTAATCCTCAAGGGCAGCTCTGGAGGTGTGGCGAGGCCTGCCCGCCCCAGGCACCTGCTTGATAAGACTTGGGAAAAGAGGAGAGCTGGCTGGCCTCCCTCCAGCCCTGTCTGCAGATGCGGCCAAGCTCCCAGAGGAGCATGCAGCTAAGTGGCCAGTGCACTGTGCTGCAGCTGGGTGGACACTGATGCTGTGCCCATCAGGTCATGTAACCTCGCCGGGAATGGCGGGGGTGCGCAAGGGAGGCAGGGCAGGCGGAAGAGGGAGCTGCTGTGCAGAACCCCCGGAGCGCTCCTGCCCTCGGAAGCCCCCGCTGCGCCTCCATCTCGCATTGGCTCTCTCTGCTTTGGCCAGTATCCTGCGCTGCAAGAGAAAAGGAGCATGGGCACAGAACCCGTGGCTTTTGCAGGGAACCGCGCTTGCAGTTTGCAAGTGAGCAGTCGTTTTGCAGTCTGTTCAGAAATGCTGCCCCCCCCCCCTGTGAACAAGGTGGCCAGAGCAGCAGCTGGGCGACGACCGCTCGAGAGTCCACGCGGCCCTTCTTGGTTCCGCCTCAGAGCAGGACCAGGGCCGCCTCTGCTGCCGTGGGAAGCAGCTGCCTCCGTGCCCCTCCGTGCCCCGCGGGGAAGGGCAGCCTCTCTCCTCCCATGGCATGGTGGGCAAGGAGCCAGCGCCCGGAGCCTGTGTGGGGAGGGGAGCCCCAAGCTTATCGCCCTGGCCTGGCCGCCCTGCAGACCGGGTGATAAGGCTGCCCTCCAGAGATACACCCAGGCGGGGAGGAGGGTTCAGCTGAGCCAGAGGAGGCCTCTGGCGCCTGGCTTTTTTGGCAATCTTATCATGTTGGGCTGCAAGACAGCGGCACATTCACTTCATAAGTCTCTTGCAGAACTTGCAGGGTGAGCTAGAGCCATAGGAACAAAATGCTGTTGCGCTGCTATTTTGGGTGAAGAGATTCTCTGCACGTGGTCAGGAGGGACACGCAGAGAGAGCCCCTTTGCAGCAAGCGCTCACCTGTGCTGCCTGGGGTGCTGCTGTGCTGCGCCTGCAAGACCGGAGTGAAGGTGAAGGCCAGGTGCCTGTGGGGCTCCTAGGAGCCCAGAAGTGCTCCAGTGACGGGCTGTTGGGCAGAGCACCCTTCCTCCCTCTCACACAGGTGCCTGGCCGGAGGCCAGAGGTTGCTTGGTTTGCTTCTGGGACTTCTCGCTCACACCCTTTGCCAGAATGACACTCAGGGTGGGTTACATGTGTATTATGAAACTGCAAATACCTAATAAAATAAGTAGTGTTGATTTAACAAATAACATCACAGCCCAGCAGAAGCTCCTTGGTCTTCAGTGGATGGCCCAAAACACGCAAGCAGTTGTGACAGAAGCACCGCAGGCGATCCCCCCGCTCTGTCCAGAGCAGGAGGGAGCAAGTCCTCGCCGAGAGCTATGACCCGAAGCCTGTGCTCACCAGCGGGCGGGGGGGGGGATCCCACGCAGGGCAGCTGGCGGGGAGGCCGATTCCCCCCCCACGGGAGGGAAATGCTCTGTCCCGGGGCTCTCGCAGGGCTCATGCTCTGCCAGCATGAGGGGCTTCCATCCATCCTTGCGGCACTTTGGCTGGCATTGTTCTGCACACCATTCCAACCCCAAAAGGGCAAGGAAAACTAGCTCTACGCTGTCCTGAGACAGCTAAGTACGGGACGGGATAGAAATGTTTTAAATACATGGATAATTGCATGATCCCTGAGACTTTTAAAAAGGTGGGACAGATGGAGGGCAAAATCCACCCCTGGTATTTCATTCGTCTCCAAGTGAGCATCACCCTGATTTAAGGTCAGCGTGAGGATGAGCCCCTGGGAGGCGGTGCGGGGGGAGCGTGCATGGAGGGAAGCGGGCGAGCCTCGGGAGCGGCGCTTGGGGAGTCACGGCCCCCCGCCAGAGGCCCCTGGCTGCCGACGGGGCCTTTCTCGCGCACAGGGCAGCTCGCTCCGAGCTCGGCTCGCCAGGGGACAGGCTCGGCGCCCGCTCGCGCCTCCGCCCGGCCTCGGCGCGCTTCGTGCGGGCCCCGGGCCCGGGGGCGCCTGCCGCGGGCTCGCCTCCAGCCGCGCTCCCGGGCGGGCCTCGGCTCGGCTCGTCTGAACGCGGCCCTGCGCCCGCGGCCGTCGGGCCTCCGCGCGCTCGGGCTCCCGCCCAGCGCGGTCCCTGCCGACGGGCAGCCCGCGGGGGGAGGTCCTCCCTTCCCCCTCCCCGCCCTCCGGGGCTCGCCGCCCTCTCCCGAGGGGCGGGCAGCCACGGGCTATAAATGCGGCAGCCACTGGCGTGGCCACCACCTCCCAGCCGAGCACCCCTGCGATCCGCGGACCCCACTCCTCGACCGACCGCTCGCCGCCATGGTGCTGAACGCCGAGGACTGCAAGCTGCTCCACGCCACCTGGGCCAAAGTGGCAGGTGCTGCGGACGAGATCGGCTACAAGGTGCTGGAAAGGTACGCGGGCGGGGCAGGGGCACGGCGGGGGGCAGCTTCTCCCCGCCCGCCCGACGCCCCCCCCTGACCACCCCCCCCCCGCCCCCCCCCCACAGGCTGTTCAAGGTTTTCCCCCAGACCAAGGTGTACTTCTCGCACCTGGACCTGAGCCCCGGCTCCAGCGATGTCCGCCACCAGGGCCAGAAGATCATCAGGGCGCTCGATAACGCCCTCAAACACCTGGACAACATCCACGGCGTCCTGGCCGACCTCAGCGACCTGCACGCCTACAACCTGCGCGTGGACCCCGTCAACTTCAACGTGAGTTGCTCCCCTGCCGGGCTCCGGCGCCGCTCCGGGGGCGGGGGCGCCGCGGGCAAAGGGTCCCCCGGCCCCCGCCCCGCCCGGGGTGCCCGCCCGCCCGCCCCTGACCGCTGCGCCTCTCGCTTCCCCCCGCAGCTGCTGGGCAAGTGCTTCCTCGTGGAGCTGGCCACCCACCTCCAGGGCGACTACACCGCCTCGGTCTGCCTGGCCTGGGACAAGTTCTTGTGCCAGGTGAACGAAACCCTGGCCGAGAAGTACAGATGAGCGCCCCTCCCGCGGACTGCTGGCACCGGCTCCCTTCCTGCGCTGCCCAGCTGAGGAGCAGCTGCTGGCGCCCGTGCTTCAGTCGTCGGCCCTCCGCTGTTCTGCGTCGGAACAATAAAGTCCCTGCACCACCACCCGCCTTGCCTGCCGTGCCTCTCTCTCGGGAATCGGGGCCCTGTGCCGGGCTGCGGTGGGGAGGGCCTGGGGGCGCCCTGCGCAGGACGGAGGGATCTCCCGGGCGGCGCGGCTGAAAGGAACGGGGCCTCTCGGCCAGGGGAGGGGGCTGCTCCCGCTCAGGCTGACCCGTTTGCTCTTGTCCGCGCTGGCGCCAGACCGCTGGGCCGCGAGGGGAGGGCGGGTGGAGAAGCGATCCCTCTTTAGAATGGGAGCCGACCGGGCCCCTCGCTCTCCCGAGCACCCCGTGCCCCTTCCTGTCATGACGGGCGGGCGGCAGGTCTTTGCAGCCGAGCCTGCCCCCTCCAGGCCCCTCAAGCCGCCCCCCACAGGGCACGTGGAGCCCCGCACCATTCCCCAAAGGGACACGGCGGAGGACAGGCTGGGGGCCGGGGCGGGCCGCGCCGTGGGGGAGCACACAGGCCCCTGCCCGAGACCCCTCCCCACCTGCCAGGCTGGCGGCCTGCCGATCCCCCTCCCCGCAGCAGGGCTCCCTGTCTGACATCCAGGCAACAATGCGCCTGCGGGCAGGATCGCCACAGCCGAGAGGGGGAGCAGCTGCTCCCCCGCAAGGTGCCTCTTCCGATCCGGCTGCAGCGGCGGGAGGGGCTCGATGCCAACTGTGCCTTCTCAAGATGGGAGCACAGCACTGGGGGGCACTTGGCTGCAGAAGGGGGGAGGGCAGACCTCCTCTTCTCAGTGCGGGAGGGAGGGAGATTCTGCCTCTCCTGTCAGATAGACTGTCCCTGTCATGGGAAGATCAATGGGCAGCTGCAGAGTGTGTGTGTGTGGAGGGGGCAGGTCTATTCCACAGCAGGAAACAAATGCCGATATCCTACCAGCCGCTGGGTTTTGGCTTCCTGGGTTTTGGCTTGCCTACACCACATCCTGCAGGGAAATAAGTGGCACTCTGTAGCTGCTCAGAGGAACCCTTGCCTAAGCTCCATGTGGTCCACTCAAAAAGCCCGCGCTCTGTGAAAGAAAGAGCCCCCTTTGGGATTTAAGAACACACACGAAGGGGGGCCGGGCTGGGGGTGCCTATGAGGAGAGCCTGAGGGAGCGGGGTCTGTTCAGCCCGGAGAAGAAGCAACCCCGCGGGGCTCTTGCTGTGACTTAGAGGTGCGTGGGGGGCGTCCTGTGCAGGGGCGTGAGCTGTTCTCCCCTGCAGTGGAGGTCGGGACGCGGACCAGGCTGGCTGGGATGTGGCCTGGGCTTCCGAGGGAGGCGGCTGGGGGCCCTCGGCGCGGATGTTCAGGGGAAGCCCGGACACCCACACGTTGGGGACCGCAGGAGCGGAGCGGGCTGGAGCCGCGGCCAGGCCAGGCGGCCCGGGAGCCGCCTCCGGGGGGCTCGCTCGGCTTCTGCGCGTGCCCCGGGTGGGCAGCGGGGCTCCCGCGCTTTGCCCCTCGCGGCGGCTGCCTCAGCGCAGCCCGAGAGCCCCGCGCACGAGAGCCGCTCGGTGGCCGCAGAGGCGCACTGACCCCGGGGGCGCCGCGAGGCCAGCGGTGCAGCCCGGTCACTGGCCCCGCCGCGGCGGGGGCAACATCCAGGCGGCATGCGACCAGCCGCGGCCGCGGCGAGCGAGGGGGCGCCGAGGGGGGCGAGGAGGAGTGCGGGGGCGGGGGACCCCTCTTGGGGGCGAGCCGGAGATCCTGGAGGGGGCCGGCCGCCAGGAGAGGCTCCGGCCAGCGCCCGGGGGGGGGGGGGGGGGCCGCGGGGCAGGCCGGAGCCGCGCGCAGAGGAGGGCTCCTCAAGAGCAGAGAGCGTATTGCGAGCACGGCCCTCCTCACGAGGAGGACTCCTTTCGGGGCCACTGAGGAGCGGCAGGCATGCGGGCAGACAGACGAGCTGAGCCGCGCGCGCCTCTGGCCACGACGACGCTGCGGGTAGCCCGCGTGAGGAGACGGCAGGACGCTGGGGCACGCAGCGAGCGAGGACTGCAGCCAGGGCCACCCTCGCCCTCCGCCTGCCGCCGCGGAGCAGCTCGCGCCCCTCCCCGCCGAGGCGGCCGCTCAGCTGGCCCCGCCCTCCCAGAGCCTCCTGGGGGGCGCCCTCGGAGGCCGAGCCGAGCCGCCCGCCGGCGGGGCTGGGCGGCGCTTTAATCGGCGCCGGGCACGGGGTCGGAGCGCCCGCCGGGACGGTGCTGAGCGGCGCCGGCAAGCGCCGCGTGAGGGCCCTCCGGGGCCAGGTGCAGGGCCACGCCGCCGAGAGAGATCGCCGCTGACGCGCTGGCCAGGCAGGCGAGCAGGGGTGGGGGCCGCGCAGCCCTGCTCCGCCCGGCCACAACGAGCCCTTCCTCTCCGCGCAGGATGTTCGCGGCGCACCCCTCCACCAAGACCTACTTCCCGCATTTCGACCTGAGCCCCGGCTCGGCCGACATCAAGGCGCAGGGCGAGAAGGTGGCTGCCGCACTCACCATGGCCGTCAACAACTTGGACAACCTGGACGGCGCCCTCTCGCAGCTCAGCGACCTGCACGCCCAGAAGCTGCGCGTGGACCCGGTCAACTTCGGTGTGAGTCGCTTCCCAGGGCGCAGCGTGGGGCGGCCACCAAGGGGCTCGGGGCTGCTGCTGCTCGGGCTGCCCTCCTCCTCTGCAGAGCAGGCTGCAGGCTCGCCCTGCCCCGCCGTGTGCCTGGCGCCAAGGCTCTCCTCTCCCCTCCACAGCTCCTGAACCACTGCATTGCCACGAGCATCGCCGCCAACCTCAGCGAGCCCCTCGAGCCCGCAGTGATTCTCTCCCTGGACCAGTTCCTGGACAGCGTGGCCAAGGTCCTGCTGTCCAGGTACCGCTAGATAAGAAGAAAGCCACACGGCTGAGCTGGAGAGGAGCGACCTGGACCCCCTTGCCCATGTTCCCCATCTCCCTGCCACACTCCTGCCGGCCTCCGTCAGTATCCAAAGCTGTCTGGTACCACCTGTGGCACAGCAATTGGCTGCTTCTCCTAGAAAGGGGCTTTTTCCCCTGTAGCAACTCCTCTGTGTGGTCTGTCCTGCTATCAAGGCTTGGCCACTTTTATTTCTTGATGCTGACTTCAAGAACAACTGAGATGTTAAAAGCGGTGTGTGGTCTTTAACTACCCAGATACATCCTGGACTGATTTGTTTTATAATTGCTTGCAGTCAAAATACTTTTGGCCTCAGTAGGCTGTTTCCAGTGACCCTCAGAAGACCTGAGCCAAATAGTGGTGACAACGTTCTAGGGCTAACGGAGAAATTATGAACTGTTAAGTCACCAGGTGCGTCCTCATTCCCCCCGCCCGCCCCATCCTGCAGGAGCAGGGCTCTGCGCCACCTCAGTCCACAGGCCGGCTGCGGCTCTGCCCCCAAACAGCAGAGCCAGGCTAGGTTCGGGCTCCCTGCACAGCTGCGGGCTCCCCGCTGGGGCATTCTCAGGCGGACTCCTGGGTGGGCAGGAAAGAACTGCTTACACCCCGGAGCTGACCAGGCTTCCCACAGCTGTCTTGGGCGCCCCCCTGGTAGCTTTGGACAAAGAGCCATTTACGTTCCTTTTATGACCGCTGCGATCATGAACACCACCAAGCATGGCCACTGCCCCCTTTATTTCTACCAACAGAAAGGTACGCTTGGGAGCTGGGCTGAGCGGAGGGCTGTGATGAAGCTGCTGCCTCTTCAGGGCTTGCAAGGCGGAGCATAAGCAGCTTCAATTTCTTCTCCGAGAGCCTGAAATAACTTCTCCCAAGAATGCCTGATTTCATCTGTGAACTTGTTCCCGAGGATGTCTCGGAAGGTGCAGAGCATGGCCTGGAACAGAAACTGGGCAGGGGAGAGGCTGCTCAGGGGACGGCTTGGAATCGGGGCCTCTTGCCAGGGCTGGTCCTCCAGTCTTGTTCATACACGGTTTTCTGAGCACCAGGATGAGGAGCGACTCTGCACGTGGAAAGTAGTCCAGCCCCAACCCTCTGCACTGCCGTGTGCACAGGCTGGGCCCCCGCCATGCCTCATCAAGACAACCGGACTCCCCGACCTGGCTGCTCACAGCACGGACAAGCCGGCCGGCCAGGGGAGCGGCGGAGGCAGCCCTGGAGCAGCCCAGGGCACCTGCGGGCAGCAGCTCTGCTCGCCTGGGCACGGGCCCGTGAGGAGCAGGTGCAGCTGTGGTTTGCGCCAGCCCCTTTGTTTGGGGGACAAAGGTGGGAAGGCCCCAGCTTCAGACCAAGGACACCGCCAGGGAGATTTGCAGGAAGCCCCTTGCTGGGGGAAGATTCCGGAAGTGTGGGGGAGCGTCCTCAGTGGAATGGCTCCGGCTGCCTCCATGGCGGGTCTCCGGGGGCCACGGCTCTGCCTCTTCCCTGCCGGCTCCCACCTGCGCTGGCACTGGTACCTGGAACATCACTGAGGGCACTTTGTGAATGTTCTTGTGACTGTCCACCAGGCGCTCGAGCAACTTGCAGGCTTGCTTCCAGTTGGTGATGTTCTCAATCACCTGGTTCAGGGCAACCATGAGCCGCCTGCCATGGAAGCCCACCTCTGGGCTGCTCAGCAGGTCGCCCTCCGTCGGGACAGTCTTGAAATACTGCTTGCTTTCTGGGTAATCTGCGAAGAACCTGCGTTCAGAAGGAAGGATCACCCGTCTGGACCGGTGCAGGGCTACCCTCCCCATCTGTCATGAGCCTGCGAGCAACAGTTTTCGCCTACAGGTGGGCTGTCCTGTGCACCTGACCCACCTGGAGGATCCCACCCTCACACCTGCTTTGCACGCCGAAAGGCCCACGTTCACCACTTGGCATGAGGTAGCAAGTATGGCCGAGACTCTGAAGGATGCTGTCACGAAGAGAAAACAATCCGACGGACAACGAGGCTGACCCGGTCTAATGTCAACACATCCTCATCCACCATTTCCACTGGAAAAGCACGTGCTCCACCTCCGGGAAGCAGACGGGGCCCATGGACCTTCTCCTCTGCTGTGTCTCTTTCTGCTGCCTTTGAGACCTGCTTGCAAGTGATGGCCGGCACCTCTTGAGGCATCCCAGAGAGTCCTCAAGACGTGGGAGTGGACGGCACCTTGACAGCTTGTTCCTGGATGTCCGGTGAGAGGGCAAACGCAAAGCCCCGGCCCTGCTTTGCCACCCGCAGCACCCACCTCAGGAAACACAAGCCACAAGCTTGAGTTCCAGTGCTCCGTGCCAGAAGCTAGGGAGGCCAAACGGTCCTTGGTGCTGGTGCCTGAGCCTGTGCTTTCCTGGAGATTTTCCAGGAGGCACTGAGCTTACGGTCTCTTGAAGTCACCCGGACAGGTACCCAAAGGCATAATTGGCCCGAGCAGATCTCAGGGTAGGAAGAGCCCTGAGGGAGCGGGGCAGAGTGCCCGCATGCAGCTGGGTTTCCCACCCGTAGGCCTGATTCCTGCAGGGCCATCAAGGCACTCTAAAAATGCCCCCGTGCATGCAGCCACCGCCACCGGATGGAGACAGAGGAGACTGGGCAAAAGGAGGTGGAGAGGAACTGTCCTCGGGGGGTCACCCTGCCTCACCTGACCACGACGAGTCTGCCATTCTCTTCAGCATTGTCAAAGACATTTGCCCAAACGTCTCGGATGTATTGCTGGTCTAACTCTGTCAACTCTGCCATGGGTTCTGAAGAGGGCAGCCTGGAAAGGGGTAAATGGACACAGGCCAGCTAGAAGTCGGCCCAGTATTCTGAGCTGTGGAAGACCCACTGTGCAGGACCACTTTCTCCGGGAGGATCCTTGAATGCGGGCCAGGAAAGCCGGTGTGGGACTAGCAGGCTGCCTCCTAACATGTGCCTACGTGCAGACGCTATGCATGTACTGAGATATTTATACAGTGTCCAATTTCCATAGGCTCTGGGCAGTTTACAAGAAATCAAACCCAACAGTGATTAAAATGGGCTAATCACAACATATTAAATAAAACTGACACAAGCACTCATCCATGGAGGCCTGTCAGAAGAAGAGATGCACCCTTCACAGTGGCAGGCTAGGATAGCAGGCGCACCTCTCCCGGCAGGCCATTCCACAGATTTGGGGCAACCACTGAGAAAGTCCTCCTGTAGTTGACATTTACCTTACAGAGGCAGACTTCAAAACATTATCCAGAGAGAGCTTCCGCTGGCAAGGCAGAATGTAGGTAAAGGGGCTCCCAAAGGCACTTGGGCCCAGACCAGCAAGGGCTTCAAAGGGAATCGGCAGCACTGTGAGCCGCATCTGGGGAGGTGTGGCCAGCCAGTGCAAAGACTTCGAAGCAGGTGGCCACGTGGTCCTTCCATGATGTCCCAGAGACCAGCCCGGCTGCCACGCCAGAAAGAATGGGTACGCAAGTCTCACAGCTGAGAGTTTAGAATCCCACCGAGATCGGGGTTGATCGGGAGAGACAAATGCTTTATAACTTGTCCATAAATAATTTGAAACTAGGAACGAACGGTAAAGTGGGCAGGTTTACTGATGGCATCAACTTATTTAAGGTGATGAAAACAAGAAGTGATTGCAAGAGCCCAGAAGAGCTCTCCAGACTGGGACAATGAGCATCGAATGGCAGATGGTCTACTTTGAGGCAAAAGAATCCCAGTTTCAACTATGGGCTGATAGGATCTGTACTAACGGCTACAGTTCGATGAAAATGGGAACTAGGTGTGCAGCTGCTGTGAGAAAGGAAATTTCCATGGTGGATATAATTTAGGAAGATGCAAAAAAGCACTACCAGGCTCATATTCCCTACAAACCCATCCTGGACGATGCTTGGACTCCTGTGCACTGTTCTGTGCTGCACTTCAAAACGGATATTGTGGAATTAGAAAAAGGCAAATACTATATGAATGGCTTGGAGCCCCTTTTCTGAGAGTCAAAGCGGTATCTGGAAATACAACATGTGTTCGCTGCCTGAAAATGTGCTTGGCCATTCCAGCGTTCCTTGCCTTGTAATGGATGTTAAGGTTGCTGCGTGTTGTTTTCCCTCCTTTTAAACTTCCCACTGTCACATGACACCACGTGTATACACCACTCAGAGCTATGCTAAGCAACACAAGTGTTGACCAACTCAGCTGGTCAACACAAGAAACGGCTAATGACAGAATTGTGTCCCTGCCAGTCCAGCCCAGCTTGAGGGTGGCTGGCCCCCCACGGGGACTGGCTTCATCCCTGGAAGCAGTGCCAAGGTGGGGAGAGGTCTTGGCTCCCACTTCCCCTTCGCAATGGCCACTCACCCAACCTTCAGCCTGCCGCTGGAGCCACCAAAGACAGCCATGGTGGGCGCTGGGCTCTCCTGCTGGGGCGATTGGGGAGTGAGGCCCGAGGCGGCCGGAACTTTCTAGCTGCAGAATTCTTGGGCAGTTGGGCTAACATGTTGTGGAGAACAGCCAGCAGTTTGCCCTTCATAGGATACAAGCCAGAATGTCAAAACAGGCCTGGTTTACCGGAACACAGTAGGAGAAACAAGCCATGATGGCTTCTTTCACCCAGGCTGAGTGCCAGGGCTATGTGCCATACTGCTCGTGCTGGCCTGTTACTGTGGTTAGCAAAGGGCTCTGGATGGCAACAGGCCACCCTTGCTGGCTTTACATGGCAAGGCCAACTGCGTGGGGCAGGGAGGGGGGCATGATGCAAAGGCGCCTGGCATGCCGGAGGCACTGGCCTTGAGCGCAGCTCCTCTTCCCAGCTGGCTGCTGCCGAGTGGGCCAGGGGCCCACGTGGGGCAGGCCCTTGCCCGAGGGGCGGCCGAGAGGGTCTGCCAGGGCTGCAGTCGTCCCCTTGCCCCTCCAGCCCCCAGCTGGCCCTGCTGCGCCCCAGAGAGCTTCCTTCAGGCGGGTGCCTGGGGCCCGGGGGTCGAGGGCTCCCCGAGGGCATCCCGCCACCGGGAGCTCCGGGGTCCTCGCTCCGCGGGGACTGCCTAGCGCCGGCGCTTCCTGGAGGGCCGCCTAAGTGCGGGGG